TCCCAAATTCCTTAGAACCTTGTGCTTGTCCTTTCTATGACCACTAGATTAACTATCAGAACTAAATTCACTGCACATGAACATATAATCAAATTTTGATATTGTACATCTAAGTAGCATGCGACTGTTGGACTTAAGGCTCGAAGCCCGATATGTATGTTGGGCCCAGTCATCAACAGCCTATAAATGCCCACTGCTGAGCAAAGCCACTTCTCACACGGAGAAGGTTTGAGCATTAATCACCACGCTTGCTCAATGCGGGTTGGCGATTTCAAACTTATAATCAGAAGTTATAAGTCCAGGTTTCCTCACGATGTTTTTCCTTCACCGTTTGTCAGTGGTGTCTAAATAACCTTAGAAAGTACATATAACTCGGAAAAAATCACATTGGTACTTGCCGTTGGTAGGTTTCGAACCCGCACCGTCATGCATGAGAAGCGGGCGTCTTAAACCTCCGGGCCACCACGACTGATCTACCATCCACCAGTATGTATGTAAATAAGTACCAATATTGTTAAGCAGATGTTTAGTTTAAACTTGTATACGATATGTGATAAATAGAGCCTTCAGATTTCATACTACCATTAGTAAAATACAAAATAGAGCGTACCAAGAAAACATGTAAGCCAACCTCCAATATAGATACAGTAACGTGATAATGCAAGCAAACTATATACTACTAGAGGTATATACATCAATACCAGCTTATATAAGTACATACAAAGTTCTCGTCGATACGTGAAGCAACTTCACATTTTAAACAAAATACCTTATCCATGATACATTCTGTTGAAACTGATTCTGATATGTTAAAAGTATTTTGCTCGTAAAACCAAATTCTCCGTATTAATATATACTGCATATTTCACTTTTTGGATATGTATTGAGTTAATACTCGTATGTACTTAACTTAATGTTCCCCGACGGAATTAACAGAGGTATGGAGTAGTAATGCATACATTTTGCCAAATTATAGTTTTATTATCATTTGATAAAATATCTTTAACTAACTTTACTTAATCACTGATAAACAAACAAGCTTTGGGCTATATTCTTGACTGTGAATATCAGTTGCAAAATGTTCCAGACCGTAAGTGTTTCATAATCGAAATAGGTCGTTTTTAAAACCACTAGAGTAATGAGTCTTATAATAATCGGTTTCTCAGTTGTAGATAATTATAATATCTATTTAAAATGTGGCAGTATCATCAGTAAATCTTCTCTGTCAAAAAGGTCGTTATACCAACACACCGTAGAATATATGGCATTTTTTATTTTCGTAGACATACATACACAGACATCCACGTTTCGTCACCATTAACATGTCAGAGGATAAAATATATCAAATATTGAACAAAACCGTCCCCCCTCCATTCTCATTCATCCATTATCGAAAGCCCATAGATCGCCATGACTAAAATGAATAATGAATTCATAATTTTGTTCTCTTCATCCGTGAACCGGATCATACTCATTTTATTCGCTACTTGTCTTATTAAGATTTATCTGAAACATTTTGAAACGTAAACAAAATATTTCAGATCTTTGTAGATCTTCAGTACAGCATATAGTACACATAGTACAGCACAGGACTATGTAGTCCTGTGCTGTCTTCTCTTCTACTTCTCAACTATCCTAAGTTTAGTACCCATAAACATGATTATGGACATTTCAATGAAACTGTATCGGTCTCATGGCAATAAGATTTAAGACATATCTTACGTAGGCTTCTTTAGCTTACCCTAATGTTTGCACTATCTCGGATAAGACACGTGTTCTTACCCGATTACATACTAAGCTCTAGTAGCTCAGAATAAACTTCGTACTCAGGACACGTGACTCTAGGAACGCATTTCACTTTGTTCTTGAATAATCCTACAAATACCGTTTCTGTTAACGTGAGCTTTCATTACAGACTAGTTATACAGTCGTCTACGGTGCTACGACGCGCTACGACTTGCTACGAACTGCTACATAATGCTACGAAGCTACATTCCTACTGTACACGTTGAAAACCATAATATCTATTAATGTAAATGAAGATATTTGCCTCAGTGCGCTCACTGACTCTCGTAGCTGCCGCCAAACTTTACCAATATCGCCTTCAGTTCAAGATGATACCTCAAAATTAATTAGAAACTGTTTGCTTTATATTCGGGAGCACACACCTTGCCCTACACCTTTATATTGTACCACTTCACGATATTGGATTCCTTCGCGCGTAATCACTACCCATCGTCCTAACCTAACATTTCTATCTGTGACTATATTATGTATGTTCGAGCTATGTGGCAACAGAACCCAGCTCAAATTGAGGACGTGTGTACACCGAACTTAAACGTCACGCGCATTCACCCGTAAATATTCACGAATCGAATCGCATCGCACAGACGATCTGTTGTCAATGAAGTGTCAGCAGCGCATGCCTGGCGCACCTGCCGCAGGTGATGCTGGAGCCTGCCGGGCCGGCGCCGGACAGCAGGTCGGAGAAGAAACTCACTATCACTGGTCTCTGATACTGACCGAAAGCTCGAGGCGGCAGCGCCGCGCGTGGCGGCGCGGGGAGAAGGGGCCGGTGTCCACACCACAACACTTCACTCACACGGCAGCGCGTCGAGGCCGCTCGCGCGTGCACGCGTCGCGCAACATGGCCGTGCCCGTGCCAGCGTGCAGCTATCGACCGCGAGCCGGCCGCGCGCCGCCCAGCGACTGACGCGGGAACCGTGCGCGCGCACCGGCCGAGCCACGCCGCCCGAGCCTCGCACACCCCCGCCCCAGGCCGAGAGCGCTGCCGTGCGGGAGCGGGCGAGCCTTCCCCGGCAACTTTGTACGCTTCTTGGAAAATCCCGCGTTAGAACTCGTTCCTAACTGATTCTGTCGATGTAAAGCAAACAATTCTCCGTCCGTACTTAAATATCTTTTTCCGCAAAAAGCTTTGCTTTAAGAGCTTTTAACTTATCTAATAATCGGTTCAAAATCAGTTTCTAATATTCTGTCTAAAAGTAAAAATAAAACCTACACAACAATAAAGAGCTATATATATAAAGCCCATCGGAATAATCCAATACGTCTCTGGTGAAACCTGAAACGATAATTACATACGTCAGCGGACGCACACCCCCGTAGCGCCCTAGTGGCGTGTCCCCTTGCTCCACAACAAGTCCGCGAGGCGTCGCTCTCGTGTTTATTTTCGGCTGCGGCCGCTGTGCCGAGAGCGCCGCGTGCCCGCCCGTTTCCATAGCAACGCGCCCCAGACGCTGCCGAAACCTCCCGAGGCAGGGCGGAGCGTTCCGAAAGTAGAGCTGATGTATCAAGTAACTGGCATACGAATACGAATAGAGCTGGATATTTGAATGTGGACCGACGCCGACGTGAATTTACTGAGACTTTAGTGTAATCCATCAGCGGACGGCTGTGGAGAGCCTGGCGCTGGAATAATAAATAAAGTGTTTTGCTAAGGGATGAACCTAAGCCGCGGATGTCATTGAGCGCATTACCGCGAACTTTGCCCTGACAGCTTCAATACACTTTCCCGTTCCTTGCACGTACGCGTACCGACACACAATATTTTATAGTTACGCTTACGTACAATATTTTTTAAACATTCATTTTTTATATACCAATAATGGAAATTATTTAATGAGTCCTAGTTAAAAAGAGGGCGAAAATACACTAATTCGGTGTGAATTTACAAGAACGGAAAATATTCAATAACATGGAATCAAACCCGACCCTCTAACTTACCAGTCGCACCTACGGCCACTCGACAAATGAAATGATATGATTATAAATAAATAAATAAAAATTGGCAAACAAATAAAAAACATCTTTATCTTTAAAAATTGTTTGTCACAAACATTTCACAATATTACATTGTGATATGTTACATGGACGCGTGTGCATTACGAATGGTAGGTACAGATACCTAATTCTATCGAACCTAAGCTAAGTATAACCTTGTATTTTGGAAAAGTGATTAAGTCGTGGATTATGTCACAAAGTCTCATTACATGTCGCTCAAAAATAATTATTACTAGTAACGTAATTACACGTACCTACCCATGCAGATACTTATGTAAATTATGATAAGCAGCAGACTGGTTATTTTTTTTTATGTTACCTCACACTTGGATTTATGTTACTTCCTCCTGTGTCATGAGTGCGTTTACAAACATACAAATTCACATATACATGACACCCAGACCCCGAACAACAATCTGTGAATCACAAAATGAGCTGTTCCTTGTGGGAATTGAACCCGCGATACGTTACGCGGCAGCCAGTTGCCCAGCCACCGCACCAACCGTGCAGTAAACTGTTTTGTTTTTTAAATATTAAAAAAAATATCTTAAGCCTGCGTTATAATATTTTGGCCAACCTGGGAAGGGTGCCTAATACCTCTTACTATTGCAACCACTTGATCAACGAGATAGAGTTATTTTATATTAGTTTTATTTAAATTCACCATTAGCGCCATCTTTCCCTTAGTGGTAGAATTATTACCACCACCTTGAAATGAATAACGTATGCATTATATCTATGAGGCTTGTGTCGTTGTCCTTGAAAATGTACGCCCTCAAATTATATCTCATGCCCGGCGGGTTTATTTCTTAAAGAGTTAAAGGAAAATAAATAAGTAAAAAGTAGAAACGTATTTTACTCTTTCACAAAGTCATTGCGTGTAATAAATTTTTCGAGACTAAAATTTTTAATGAAAACTTCTTGTGTCTTTGGTATTAATATGAATATTTAAATAGTTTAATTTAAACTAAATCGTAAAAGGTTTAATTGTAATACTCTAGACTATAGAAACAAAATTAGCGCCTTTTGACCAACGTATTTGACATTTTTAATTTCTAAACGTAAATGTCAACGACATGTCACATTCTTTCTAATATTTTATCTGTGCTAAACGATTTTAGGTTATGTGGGAAATGTTTTCAGGCCCACAAAAATAAATATAACTTAAAAATTTAAAAGGATATAACTAAATTACAAACATGGCTCTGATAAGAGCGGGCTTGCAACGACTAGCCAATGTATTCAATGGAGGACAAGGTAAAAAATCTAATAAATAGTGCAACATTAACGTAGCTTCGGTTGCTTTGGATTTGTTTAGTTACATAAAAGTATTTGTTTCTTTACAGCAGGTATACTATCAAGATTTGTTACAAGCCTATCTCCTGTTGAGTCTAAAACAGTCCCAGAAACTACAAAGGATGTGATAGCAGAATGCAATAACCTAATTGAAAAGAATGCCTCAAGAAATTTTGCTATAGTTCATTTGTTGGGTAAACAGTGGCGTGTGACTGATGGAGACCTTTTGGTTGTCGAAGGCTTCTGGCCTCCTAGCATCGGAGACAAAATCAGATTGGATAAAGTTTTAGTAGCTGGGACAAAAGACTTTTCCCTTATTGGAAGGCCTTTAGTGCAACCTGGATTAGTTGATGTGACTGCCACAGTCATATCAAAGGGCCTCTCTCACACAAGAACTCATTTCAAAAAGAAGAGGAGGAAGCAATTTATGAGAATCAACTTTGTTAGGTCACCTCAAACTATTTTGAGAATTAACTCAGTGGAGATAGCAAATAAGATCAATGAAGCGCCCAAAAATGTTTTCTAGTTGTATGTTTTATGTAGTTAATAAACAATAGACTTATAATATTGGTTTTATTGTAAATTAAAATGCTTATTAAAATTTTAAAACAATTTATTCTAGTCATAAATTATTATATTTAGTTGTGTCATTAAAACATAATTTATTTCTGATTTACATTCACAGTAGCATATTTAGTTGTATATAAATTAGCCTAAGCTTACATTATCACAATATTCTTGAAAAGTAACTTTATGTTCATCTTTTAAAAATCTCTTCATACCTTTGAATAAATAAAACATTTTCTTGTTTTCAAATAAATTAGAGAGCACCTTTAGAAAAACTTCAAAATCACTATTTTTCTTATATGCAGAAATTGATAGTTGAAACTGTTTATACTGATCTGCTTGTAGGAGCACTTTTATTTCTTTGACAAAATCGATCAATGATGTAGGAGGTACCTTTTCAACCACTTCAGTGTGTGAGGCTTCCCCATTCAAATTCTCTTCAAATCCAAAAGGTTTTATTTTCAACTTTTTCTTTTTTACTATTTGATTAGGTACACTAACATCTGCAGTTCTTTTATGAATAGTAACTAATGACTGTGATGATGATGACTGTTGAGATTCCGCTTGATCTATTGCACTAAAAAGGTCCTTTGTAGTATTAGGTTTAAATTCATTAACATAGGCAGAAGCTTTTGCATTTTTATAAAAATCCATAGAAAAATCTGCATAAACTTCATTTGAATTAGGATATTGGCTAACAGATTTTTTGCTTGAAGATTTTGATACAATTCTTGAGTTGGTGACAGGAAATGAAACACCACTGACATGAATTGGTCCAGAATCAGATTTGTTTTGCATTCTAGATTCACTTGGAAGCAGTGGTTTCAATCTGGGGGCTGGCAATGTTGTTTCAGCATTTTTGAAAAACCTGCATATTTCACTAACAGTCTCACCAAACTTAATTGAAACACTGATGTGGTCTCTCAACCAAGCAGATAACTGGCTCTTTAGTTTTGGACTATTAAACCTACTGTCACAAAGTAATATAGCTCCATAATCATTTTGATGCCTTATGACTCTTCCAATAGCTTGATTCACTGCTCTTGTTGCTTCCAAAGAGTACCATTCATCACCTGATAAAAACTGTTTATCTTTAGTCCTTAGTTCTTCCAAGTATTTCTTTTTCAGGATTATTCTGGGATCTTTAAGTGGTGGAAATGGTAAGCCTGTGATGATGACTGCTCTACCATTCATGTCAGCAAAATCTAAACCTTCTGATACCTTACCCCTACAGACAGCCATAAAACATGCTCCCCTAGTGCTGGGATCACTTATTTTACTATAATAGTCATTAATTATAGTGTTGAAGGTGTCTTTGCGCTGAGGTTCAACAAATATAGGTTTTATATTATTTATGCTGGACCAGATACCCTCATTCTGCCACATTTCTTGACATTTGGTCATAATAGGATATGATGGAAAAAATACAAGCAGGCCATCTGGAACTACACGGCAAAAGCTTAGTATAGTTCGGCCTAAAGATGAAATATATTTAGGATTGTCTCTGTTCTGGTAATTAGAATTAAGTTGCATTCCATCAGGACCCTGGCTCATTATTTTAACACATATTTGATTTGATTTTACTATGTGGGGGTTTTCCAGCTGTACTCCTATGGGAATGCCTAGTTCGGATGTTAAAGGTTTTAATGGAGCTAGTGTGCCACTTGTTAGTATGATGCTCCTCACATTCTGTTCAATTAATTGTTTCATACCAAAACCTGGACTGAAACACCAGTAACTCAAAATTCTTTCAGCAGACTTAGTACTTGTTGTTTTTAATGCTCCCCAACTGTCAGTCTTTTTATTGTTCGTTTTGTCTTCAACTTGTACATGAACTTTGTAACACATTTTTACTCTCTCCTTATACGAGTGTGTAGTCCCACAAAACACAACATTTAGTAAATCAACTATCTTCTGCAAGCCAACTCCTTTGCGCTGAAAAGGTGAAGCACTTGCTGTAGACAAGTACTGTATGAGATTCTCAATCATTGTAATAACTGCCATTTGATTATGATCCCTGATCTCAGCTTTTGATAATAATTCAAAAATAAAACCACCAGGGTAAGTACTTCCTTCACTTCCAACAGTGATCTCATCAATAGCCTTCTCTAATGCCAGCATCATTTCTTTCAAAACACATAAATCATCACAGGTAAAATCTTTGGGCTGGCTGTCCACTGTCATATCCATCTGATCCTCATTAGCTGCTGCCTCACCAAAAGATCTCATGACATGTGTAATCTCATCAATGCATAAAGCAACATCTGTTGTTCTAATCTGCAGAGATGCTGACTCTTCACACATTTTTTCAACATTATGAGCTTCATCTAAAATAATAATATTATTTAAAAGTTCTACACCATTAGCTCTCCTTGATTTTGGATCTAGAATATAATTGTAAGGCATGAATATAATATCAGCATCTTGTTTTAATTCTTTTGACAAATAGTAAGGACAACACTTGAGCTTTTTTCCCACAGTGACTAAGTCTTCTATGTCTAATATTTCATCACCTTTCACAGCCCTGTCATCTTTCTTTGACTCAACATTATTATAAAAGTGGCATGTTCTTGATTTTACTCTCAGCTGGCACATGTGTACTTTGTTCATGTTATTTGTTTCCTTAGACACTTCAGGATGAATACACATTTGGTCTCTCGACCCCAAAACTGTGGCTTTCACATGCTTGTAACTGGACCGCTTCAATTCTTGCATTGCTTGTGTCAGTTGAGAATGTGTTCTTGATGAGTATATTATCTTTGGCATTCCCCATGATGTATTATCTTTCGCTTTACCTGCTCCAGATTTTAAAGAATCTTTCAGAAATCCACTAAAGTTACTATGCTCTGAAAAGTTGCCAACTTGTGCATTCATTTGTAATTGGGCCTTTTTAACTAGTAACCAGGCTAATGAAGAACATAGTAAACTCAGGGTCTTTCCGGTACCTGTGGGAGACTCCAGCAAGGCGTTGGTATTATTCTGCAGGCTTTCTATCACACGTTCCATGTATACCTTTTGAACTTCATACGGTTCAAATGGAAAAGTCACTGGTATACCACAAATCATTACTTCAGGCATGATTGCTGATGTTGTTTACAGTTTTTCACTAAATACAATCAAAATTAAAATTTCAAGTTTCAGGTTCTAACATCTTATGTTATTCAATCAAACTGAGGCACAACGAAATAGCAAATAAATAAATAAAAAAAATAACCCCTTGACTGATTTCGACTTCGTCCATCAAGAATGAACCTTTTGGCGCCAAACCAAAGAAACGTTCGAAAATTTCGAATCAAATACAAAATATTCTTAGTAGTCACAAGTCCTTACATACCAATAATTTAAGTCACATCATTTTTATATGATACGATTTTTCTAACAATAATTTTGTATAAGATAAAAGATTTCAAACAATGTAAATTCAAATTTATTTAAAGTTAATCACAAACGCAGCATAAACGCATCGACGCACTTACTGATATGGTGAAATGTCAATGTCAACCATATGTTTATAATAACCTCAAAATTCATGTTTTTGAGGTTTGATCGCTTTTGTATTGTTTTTATTCATACATATGACCGGTAAAATGAAAATTAATGTAGAGCAAGTGTATACATCTGTTGCATGCAACCGCACTCCGGAAATAATAGACTGGAATGGACAAGGAGTCATTTGTTTTGGTGCAACAAACTCTGTTGTTATTTACGATACGGTGAGATGCAATGTTTTTATTGCATTTGTGAACCTGAGAAATAGCTATATCATTATATTATTGGTTATAATTACATTGGTGCCTTAAATGCCTAAAATTGTTTTTCGGCTAATTAGAAACTTACGTAAATAAGAATTAAAGACTATTAATTGACATATTTGTTTTTAAAAATACCTCTTACTAAATTCCAGAATCTCAGAGGCAAAGACCCTTTAAAAGTATTGAGCCACCATAGATCTCAAGTAAACACGGTGAAATGGCTACGTAAACCAGATGGAAGCTGTACTGAACTGATCTCTGGGTCTGCGGACAAGACTGCTGCTATATGGACCTTGGAAGACGGAGTATGGAAAGTCACCAACAGCCTTGCTGGACATACAGATGGTGTCACTTGTATACATGGCATTTACAATGGAGATGAGCTTCTGGTTTATACGGGATCCATTGATTCTACTGTCCGTCTATGGGAGAGGAAAGATGGTAAATATTATTCCATTTTGTATTCCAATAAGATTCTGTTAACTATCGACTATTTTGTCAAAATAATTTATATATTTCAAATATGGTGTAACTACTGAGAATTTTAAAGTCCAATAAATCAGTCAAACTTAGCAACAAATTGCAATAACATAAATAAAGTTTTAAATTATCTCATGTAACAAATTGATATATTTTTTTTGTATAAGAACCTATTCTAACTCTTTGTTACAGGTGTCACTCTACACAAGCAAACAATAAACTTAAACTCTGGTCTCTGCCTGACACTCCATGCACACATCCTACCGACCACAAACAAACCTATACTGTTCTGTGCCCTGGACGATCATAAGATCCATGTGTTTGTTGGGGACGAGTACCACAGGGCTCACACATTGACTGGACATGAAGACTGGGTGAGGGGACTTGATGTGCAAGATGTTGGTGAGTTTGAAATTATGAAATGATATTTTTGTTATTGTTGAGCTGTGCTACTTGTTAACCGTAGCTTATTATTAGTGCTAAAATTAATCATAGAATTTTGACAAATTTGCATAGTTAGTTCCAGGATATAAAAAGGAAATTGTGAGTTCCAAGAATCCACACATTTCATCTTTAGGCACTAAAGTGATTATTTCTATAATTACAGACAACTCAACCATTATGCTAGCCTCGGCCTCCCAAGACACATACATCCGTCTCTGGCGAATTGAGAAGCATGTAAAAAAGCAGCTTACTAAGGGTATCAAAGTAGAGGAAAAGGTGTTTCCAGCATATGGAGAGGACTGGTCAGTGAAGCTGGAAGCTGTGCTGGCTGGACATGAGGGGTGGGTGTATGGGGTGCAGTGGCAATCACCTGCGATTGGAGGTAGGTGACAAATGGATGTAAAATAAATTTGCTAATCAAATTATAAAAGGAAAACTACATCAATAGAAGATAGGTGCTGTTCTTTTGAATTGCTATAGAAATTAAATACAAAAACAATTTTAAGTGGATTTAGGATAAACATCAGAATGTCCTTGCATTATGTGTGGCAACATTTTTTACTTAACCATTAAAAAATATCTTTCAGAATCAAACAAAAAGCCAATCTACAGACTGCTGTCTTCATCATTAGACAAGACTGTCATCATTTGGGAGCCAGAGTCATCTCCCAATAAAGGGGAAGGGGATGGAGTGTGGGTTGAGCGAGTAAGGGTGGGGGAAGTGGGAGGGAATGGGTTGGGATTCTATGGCAGCAAGTTTGGACCTGGTGGAAAGTCATTCTTAGCTCACGGATACAATGGGTCCTTCCATGTTTGGAGGTGTTGTAAGGTATGACCAAACTCACTGTAATATTTTGATGTAAATTGATAGGTTTTGAACAAAACATTTGTCGGAACCAAAACTATTCATTATTCGCGGGCCGCGGTTTCAATCATTATACTTAAATAAAGAAATTATTTTATTATTTAATACTATACAGTTCCACTACTTTTTCAGGAGACAGGTCAATGGCGACCGTCAGTAGTGTGTGGTGGCCACTTCAGTGCCGTGGAAGACGTGAAGTGGGAGCGCCAGGGACGGTACCTCATGAGCGTGTCTGCTGACCAGACCACCAGGGTGCATGCGCCCTGGAGAACTGAACTTGGTAACGTGTTTTTTCCTTTTTTTTAACCAACCACTAAAAAGTAGAAATTAAAACTAGATAAATAAAATTAAAAATCTTCTAAGTTCAAATAATAGATAACTTTTCACAGAACACCATTTCGAATAATTAACTTTTACAATCACTATTTACAATTATTGATGAATTCCTGTGCACTAAACGTTTATGTACTACTACACTTTAAATGATCAATCTCGCGGCTGCAGCCTCCCGATTTCTGTCCCAACTAAACAGGAACACAACACGTGCGCATCAACCGATAAAGTAACATCTTACTGTGCTCTGTGTAAATGATTTCTACATTCAAAAAGTTTGAAGTTGTCTAATGATTGCAAGTATAATTGTAGATTAATTGTCGTCTGCTCGCTGGCCCCTATTCTATAAAGAAGGATAAGATAAGATAAGATAAATTTTTTATTAATTCAAAAATTGCGAAATACAAAAACATATGGTAAATACGTACAATTGTCCTCACAATGTTATATGTCTGCACTAGGACAATCCTGTATCGCAGGCGAGAGGAGTTCTAAATCTAATTCTTATAGTAACACATTTTATTTCTACAGATCCATATACTTAACATTATACAACAGAAAACAATATGATTATTTTAATATACATACATACATACATACATATAAAACTAATCTTCATATAATATATACTATAATATGCCTAATAAATATATTAAAATAACAACTAAAGTAAGATTTGTTTACAACAGCAACATTATGTCTATCGACTATCTATCGAATGTCTATCTATCGATGAGAAAGAAAGTTATTAAAAAGGATCACTGTTTCCTAATAACTCCCAATATTTCTCCGGCAGGCACAGAATGGCATGAGATAGCTCGTCCCCAAGTACACGGGTACGATCTCTCGTCTCTCGCGCTGGTCAGCAGTACGACCTTCGCGTCCGCTGCGGAGGAGAAGGTCATCAGAGTGTTCAAGGCACCTCATAACTTCGTGCAGAACTACCGGAATATTACTGGAGAGATTATTGAAGGAGATACTGGAGGTAACAGAACATCTTGCAAAAGTACATTGCGATCTTCTTCTGTGTTTAAAAAAACGTCACAAAGATGTAATTGTGAAATTTGCGTCTTGTTGCTCAGGTCTGGTCAAGTCAATAATCTTACAGGTCCGGAAGGTGCAGCGGTGCCCTCACTAGGGCTGTCAAATAAGGCGGTGTTCATAGGAGAGGATGAACAAGGGGACGCTGACGACGATAATGACGGGTACTTCGTTCCAGTTGATATGACAGGTCAGAATTGAAATTGTCTAATATTTAAAGAATTTAATATTAAAGAGTGAGAATGGATTCCCACCCTCTGCACGAATGGGCGGCTCGACCGGAATGATACCACGTCGTCACAGAAAACCGACGTGAAACAACGCTTGCGTTGCTTCGTCATGCGAGTGAGGTTACCGGACAATTACCCCCACCTCCCAAATCCCCGAATCCCTAAAAATCCTCAAATTCCTAATCCCCAAAAGGCCGGAATCGCACTTAAAACACCCCTGGACTTTCGGGTGTCCATGGGCGGCGCCGGTTGCATACAATCAAGTGAACAGTCTTTACCGACTTATATGATAATAAGGGATAAAAAGAGAAACTTCGTTATTTTATTTTATTTGGTGGCTACTCCCAAATGACCATTCTTGATTGGTGCAATCTTATGAAATCTCATTTAATTTAATATGATAGTTTATTATACAGCCCTATATAACATTTCCCTTGTTCTATGCTTCTGATATTATGCCCATTATAACATTTTATCTAATCACGTTCTCCAGAGCCCCCTACGGAAGAGACTCTAATGCAGCACACGCTATGGCCGGAGCTGCAGAAGCTGTACGGGCACGGGTACGAGGTGTACTCCCTGGCGGCCAGCCCCGACACCACCGTGCTCGCCTCGGCCTGCAAGGCTACTACTGCTGAACATGCTGCTGTCTTACTATGGTAGGTTATATGGGCTTTTTTACCATGAAACATTTTGAATTTCAAAATTGCTACGGTAAGGTTTCATTTTATCCCAAATTATTGTCGTCTGCTCTTTACGTCGTCTACTATCAGTTGTTCTATATTGAACTTTAAAGGTGTTTTCGTATGGTTCCATTTTGTTTGATGTCTGTATTATACATTTCCCGATGAATCTGTCTTTGTTAAAATGACACTTTCAACACATTTCCACAGGGACACCACAACCTGGGAACAGAAACAAAAACTAGTTTCCCATCAACTAACCGTCACACAACTAGCGTTCTCGCCAAACAGTCAGTACCTAGTCTCCGTGTCCCGCGACCGACGTTGGACCTTATACCAAAGGCAACAAGACACAGATTTGTTTGAAATAGTCGCGAGCACGGATAAAACGAATGCTGTGCATACGAGGATCATTTGGTGCTGTGCGTGGACGCAGGATAGTAAGGCATTCGCTACTGGATCTAGGGAAGGAAAGGTGTGTAGCGTTGTATAATGTTATAGAAATCCTTAATGATTAACTACCATCTCTAATTACTATCATCACAATAACGTTTCTAGTTTTTTTCGACTTCAGCACATTGGCGGGGTAACTAGTTTCAGCGCTACGTTTCGCAGGTTCGATTCCCGAACGCGGTAATCTTTTATGGGAGCCATCGATTTTTGTTTATATTTTAAAAGCTACTCGAATGCACGAAGAAATCCTAGTGTTGAGTATAACAAAAAAAAGAGAAATTTAAAAAAAAAATATTTAGCTCTTTTTACACATTAAAAATTTTGTATTTTAAGGTGTGCATTTGGTCAGAGATGGGTCCAACAAACACCTCTCTGGGAGCGTTTGGACTTCTGGGCAAAGCTCTCGAAGTGAACACAGCAGTAACGGCTTTGGACTTCGCCCCACACGACGGCCCCGGCCTTATACTAGCTGTTGGCTTCGAAACTGGTATTATCAGGATATACCAGTTTACTGATGATGGCTGGCTCCTTCTACAAGAACTTGATAATAGGTAAGAATAATAGGTAAAGAGTTCTGAGCCTGATCTTTTCCCATTATTTCTACAATTTTTAAAAAACAAAACGTGTTTTTTCATCCAATCTATACAATTCCGAGTTATTGGTAACATGTTATTAATATTTTTTGTAAATTGTGAGACATACCAAATTGACTAAAAATCACGGGTTACTCCCGTGAATATCACTACATAGTAGTACATAGTGTAAAACAAAGTCGCTATCCGCCGTCTGTCTGTCCCTATGTATGCTTAGATCTTTAAAACTACGCAACGAATTTTGATACGGTTTTTTTTAATAGATAATGTATAATACATGCATATTGCACCCGTGCGAACCCGGGGCGGGTCACTAGTACTGAATATATCAAGAACCATTGATAAACATACTGTAGCACAAGACTCGTAATTTCAACTATCATCCCAAGCGGCTCGTTGGTCTAGGGGTATGATTTTCGCTTAGGGTGCGAGAGGTCCCGGGTTCAAATCCCGGACGAGCCCAAATCTTTTTGTTGTTCTTAGTTTTGTTTTTTGACAATTTTTGTTTATTTTTCAGCGCGGCGCACCATTTAGCAGTGAAAAGATTGACATTCAAACCTACTGAAGGAAATAAAATGATGTTAGCGAGTTGTGGAAGCGATCACCTTGTTAGAATATACAGTATTGATATAATTTCTGAATAAAATATATTTTAATTTAACTCGTCGAGTACCGGTTTTATAGACACAATTAAAGAACAATAGGTCGCGGTCACCGGTGACCGCTTGGTGTTTGACAGTTTAATATAACTCGTGTTAAATTTTTATTTATTTGTAAAACAATTTTACTTCAATATTTAATGTTTTCTGGAATTCGACTAGATAAACTTGGTCATCTTGATGTGACGTCACGGCCGAGATATCAAACTGAAACGCAACAGTTCTAAAATACCTTTTGTAGCAAAACAAGATTTCGTAACAATATCATGATTTGTAAAACTGACTGAGAAATAATAACCGTGAAGATTCTAGCACATATAGCACTCTCTATACAACTTTCTACTTTGGTTCGAGATAACAGATTGCCTAAAGTACGCCCACGCATTGGTCTAATTAAAAAAAAAAATACTGATCATTTTTTTTCTAATACTTACTGATACGGAATGACTAATATACTTTTACTAAATATTATCTTACTCTGACTACAGTATATAATTTACTCATAACAAATTAAGTGTTTATGAATAATTGAAAACAATTTAAATACCTCTTTTACAGCCACAGATGGTTTTATCAATGTCTACTTGATTATATCGGAAGTTTAGTTAGAAGATAAAACAATTTATAATTAGCTATAGGTATTACACACATAACATCACGCCTTTTATCCCCGAAAGGGTAGGCAGTGCACACATTACAGCAGTTAATGCCACTACAATGTTACTCTCACTTTTTACTATTTATGTTATTAGTGTGATAGTGGGTGAGCCTAACGCCATATACCGGACACATTTTCAGACTCTGTGCTACTGAAGTTTTTTTTAAACACAGTAATACTTTGCCCGACCTGGTAATCGAGAGCCCTTGCTCAGCAGTCGCACTTGCGACCACTCGGCCAACAAGGCATTCTGTAGGTATTGTACAGATAATTATATTTATTTTAAGATATAAGATGGTGATAATTTGCAATAAAATACGATTGTAAGTAACGTATCAATTAATATATTTACAAATAACTTGACAAAACATCTTCAGTAAAGTTTACAAAAAGGCGAACTCTTGTATATTTATATAAAATCACAATATTGGTCCGTCTAACGGAAGCATAAATATAAATTCCATTTTGTGCTCATAACTCCGTTTATATCGAAACTTGACGAGAATTTAACCGCGATTCTTATAAAACCAGATTAGTGGATGTCCTTCATAGATTATTAAATATAATCAAGTAAATATAAGGCGAACAGAATTGATAATGATACTTGCCCTGTTCACCAAGTCAGTATACATATCGCGACGCACGGCTGTGCTCGAATTATATCGAAATATAATCCGCAACTCGGCATACAATTTATCAACATAACCACGATGCATATCTAATATAATTCTTTTATCTAATAAAATATCTAAAAATACTCAATTTAATAACAACTTCATAAAATATGTTTCTGTTTTACATTAATCTAAAATATCTCGTCTTGTATATTTACTTTATTCTTACAACTTATTTCTAGCCAGGGTTATAGTAGTATAATTGAGAAGATAAGGCATCATGAGAAAGACACGCGACTAACTGCCGTACTAAGACACATTCAATGATTACTTAAACCATTCTTTAGTAACGAATTTCTTCCTAAAATAATTGCTAAGGACTGAGTGAACTACATGAGTCTGAGTACGGCGGTAGATCTTAAAAGTACACTGTAATTATTAATAGCATATGAAAAAATGCACGGAGAGATTACGTCAAATGTACGTATGAGAAATATACCCGAGTGGCTGAGGGACAAGCAGTACATGTTTGAGCAAGCTACACAATAACAGACCTAAATACAATGTAACTTAGAACATAAAATAGTTACTAGTATTATGACAATATGTTTTTTTGTGTTTTATAGTTTTCTCTTATTTCGAACATGCGCATTATAAGCCCATAGTCAATTATCACAATGCAAGGCATTCCGAGAGTTTGCAACCTTCATAAAAGTGTGTACTTTTAAATTGGGATTTAAAAATAACACTTCGTAATTATTACCCAAGTACATACAGCGTGTATTAATGGGCCACCATTATAGCTTCTTCGGACTTTGAGGGTCGAAAGTATTTGAGAACACGTCGAATGATTTTAGATTTCTTCTTCTTTTTGCTACTGGTCACACTTTGCTGGCTCATGCTACTTAAGGAGTTGGTGTCAGCTGCAGCTTTGACGTTCAGCGAGCTCATGGAGAGGCTCGTGTTTGGAGGACTCGGGAGGAAGAGCTGCTCGTCCGAGTAATCCGCGATGACATTGCTCGGCAGTAGCTCCACGATATTTCTAGAATAGCAAAAAATACTAAGATGACATATGCCTCAGAGTTAAAAGTTAATAATACTGGTGTTCCACAGGGAAGCATACTGGGTCCACAGCTGTTTATACTGTACATAAATGACGTCAGTAAATGAAATATGACTGCATCGAGTTGTCAAGAGATGCCATCAATGTTTTCAAACATGGTTATAGTTTAAAATAAACTGAGCGAAGTTTAATAATTACTTGTTAATGTTAGCGATCCGTGGTCTAATCGGCGTGTCTCGTGCGGTCTGAAGCGACTGTTTCAGTTTCCGCCAGAAGTCGTACATGTTCTCGTTTTTATTGTAGTGCAGTTTGTGGACGAACGCCAGGTTCGATGGTAGTTTACACTCGCGGTACATTATCGGGATTATCTTGTGGTTGTGTGACTCTGAAATACATATTGTTATAGTTATTTTTAATTTCATAAACGTTTGTTTGATGTAGTTGCTGCTTGTTCCTTGAGCGAAGAGCATTATTAAGCGTTAGATGTTTACATTGCAGAAGATATCCCCTTGAGTAAGTAAATGAAAGTTTGGGTTTATCAATTTTAACACAACTTTGTTGTCTAGTTGTTATTTAGCCTGTAATAATAGGATCAGGCCTTTGTTACATGACTTATACCTTTTTTTATATGGGTTAACCCGGTAAACGTGCAAACGGAACACCTGATGCTAAGCAATCGATCCTGCTCATGGACACCCGAAACATCAAAACGGTTACAAGTGTTCTACCGGCCCTTTGGGGATTAGGAATTTTAGGAAATGAAAATGAAAATATTTATTTGTAAACATAGGTACAATGGGATGTTACATTTCATGGTATAATATTGACCATCTATGTTTTGTCGTATACAAATTTAGTTAAAGATTTAGTTTGAGTAATTAATAACGTCATTAATATATTAATTTCATTCACATAAATTATTACAATAGTCACAAATGTATATACAAAATATAGATAATGCCATTGATGAAAATTTTAAATATTAATCATTAGTAGATGTCAAGATTAATGTGAAACAGTACATTTTTGTTTAAGACAAATGGCCTAGTCATTGGGTACAACATGGAGGATTGTTAGGGATTCAGAGATTGGGGAAGGGGATTAATTAGACCTAGTGAAAAATAGGTGTTACATTCTCTTGCAAATCCTACAGAGATCAGACGTGAGCCTTATGTATGTGTTAATAAAATATATATTTTATTACCAATGCTGACAGCCTGTGCATACTCGCTGTAGTACTTGTTAGACTCGACGAGTAGGAAGTCTGGCGAGCAGATGAGGATAATTCTCTTGCACCGCTCCAACATGAGCTTCGTTATAGGTGCGTATGGCGTCGCGTGGCCCGGCTGTAGCCTGTCCTCTGTGCACAGCTGGAAATATTACAAATCAACATGTTAATTCTTGAGACTTTACAATTTATATTTAAATGTAAGATTTGAAAGAGGGTAGGTGAACGGACAACGACACACGAATCCGAACATTAGTAAAGACATGTCATGTTAACCCGGAGAAAAGTTGTTTAAAAATTAATTTAGTACTTAATTACATTCAAATTTGTTTAACTGAAAGGTAAAATTGTCCTTATTAATTATGTTTAATCCGAGTACAATAGTATTATTTTAAAGGCCATAATTGATAAGACTGCTCCCAGTATTTAGAGACGTTTTTATTAGTTTTATGAACAAGAAATAGGTATTATCAGTACTATACAGTTCAAGATAATGTTCAAAATTAATCTCAACTTTAATGTTTAAATCAGTCTTTGTTTTATACCACTATAAATTATTTAATCTTATTATTACACACTGCTGTGAAAACATTGACTTGGGTATCATTACAATCTAGTATCTAATAAGGAAAATATAAATTTCTTTGGATAGTAACATTATCAGCCCTTATCACGCCCCCCATTGGGGACACAGATGTAGAATGTAGATACAATATCTGTCTGTTTACAACTGAACAGTTTAACAACATTCCAGGTTTTGGCTTATTGCTAATTATAACATTATTAGTTATACATTTGGAGTTATAAAGTGGGTCAATTAGGTGTAGGTCACTGTCAAAAGAAAATTATTATTAATTTGATAAATTTGTAGTTCTACAGAAAATAAATGATTGATTTATAACAGTCTCACTTGAGCCAGAAAACAACTTATCTTCTAAAGAATGGCATAAACATATATTTAAAAAATACCTGAAACCCTTCAGCACTCATTCTAGACAGCAGCTCGTTAACAAACTGCTGATCTTCCTTAGCATAAAGCACGAATGCATCATAGTGGTGCTCATAATCTGGGCCGTCATCAAATGTTATAGGGTCAAAATCTCTCTCTTCATCATTGGTTCTGATAATGTGGTGATTGTTGTTAATGTGGTTGTTAATTATTGCTATTTGATTTTGTTCATTTGCTGAAAGAAAATAAGGTCTTATTTACTTTATAATCAATACTTAATGAATGTGTACAATGAATAAGGAACCCTTCATAAGTTGCATATATTATGTCAAAGGGAGGTTTGTATATTTCATTATTCTATACATATTTTGATAACCGGAACAGCTGTTTTCCAGTTTAAATGTTGTTACTAACATGATTTACAATATTGGTTGACAAAACAGATAAATAAGTCTAATAAATTAAAATGTATCAGCAAAATGCCTAGCTCTTCATGAAATGTAGATAAAACACAATTAATTATAAACAATTAAAGATATACTTTGTAATCTGCTATATCTGTCAAATGTATTACTTTGTTACTTTGGCAGTAATTAATCAATCAACATAGATTAGAGGCTCAAAAATTTTAAGCCTATTTCCTTACATTAAGCTCAGACAGACTTGACTTGTTAAGTAATTTACCTTGTGGCTTATCTAAGAGTTCTCCCTTACTAATTGCTTCTTTGAGATCATCACATAAGTCATCGTACACATCGAAGCGGTCTAAGCGCTCCAAATGCTGCATCAGGTGTCCAACTGTTGCTGAGCTGTCTTTCTGCCATATTTCCAATACTTTCACAGTCTTTTGTGGTTGTAAGCGGATGTAGGCGGCCCTTTCAGACGACACATTGACTAAGTCAGCCAAGCCCCGCCAGTCTCTGTAAGTTGCATAAGACATAGGTTTTATGTAATTTGTAATTATGTTACAACCAATGTATACTTATAACATTGTCTTAAAAAATCACTATCCTTTGGAATGTTGAGTGAAAGCCAAGTTTTGTCATACTTTACTGTTATTGGATGTTAACACAATTTGCACTTGGTAAATATTATTGCTAGACTAAAGATGACTCACAACTTTATCAATCTGAATCTTATACAGCGCACATAGTATATGAGTGTTAGTCTGAGTAAACAAATCTTATAATTTTTGATAATGTTAAAAATAACTATTCCCAGTGCTATTACAAGATTTTCTTCTGTCTGAACATTTATACATTCATATTGCATGTTACCCTTCGTAGGGATTTGGAGGTATTCCATGAAGAGCATTCAAATGAAGCGCACCCAGATAAAGTGCACCTAAGGTTTTACACTTAGCACAGGTGGGCTTCAAGTACAAATTGTAATAATGACTTACATTTTCTATTTTACAGCACTCACCTACGAATATCACTTGCATATTGTGAGCAAGTGAGTATCACTAAGAAATAAAAATGTTGATAGAATATAAAATATAATTATTACAAATTAACATTTTTATGTTTACTATTTTCTTTCTATACATATAGATTTCTAGGCAGTCCTAGTGGACTTCATACCTTAGTAAGAGGTGTTTAAAAAGGAGGGAATTGGTAGATTTCGTTTAGTTAGAATGTAACCTCTATCATCCCTATCCCTTTCGTTAGTAACGTGATTCTCAATTCCATATCATAGAGGAAAATACATCAAGGTTTTATTTTGACACACTAATGTTATTATTGTTTGCTTATGAATGATATACTCAGTGAATCTCATTCAACATTTAAATGAGCGAATCACATAGTATTCAGTGCACATATTAAAAGCTTTAATAACAAATGCTACAAGATATAAATAGAATTAATTGGAACTAATTATTCATGTTTGTATTTACAGGTTTTCATTCAAGTTTCTTGAACTTGTTAGCGTACATAGTACTGCCACGGAACTTCTTAAAAGTATAATTACCTGGGCAGCTTTACAGGTCCATCGGTTGGGATGATTTTTGGAGTATCCAACAGGCATGATAACAGTTCGCGAGTTCTTAGAGGAAGATATGACAATGGTAAAGATTTTATTCTACCCAAGTCTTCTTCCATTTTAAACACCATTTATTACTAACACACATTCATTTCACCTAAAACATGCACTTAAACTAAACACAGTATTTTTTAAACACTTTTCCTTAAAAATCAAAACTTTGTCGACCAAAAAATGACAAAATACATCACGTCACGCAAAAATAGAGCGCACAACAGATAAAAAATATTTTGCTGTGACGTAATTTTCACTGAGCAATTTTAATTTCTTATGTTGGCATTTCTGAAATCCCTCCTATACACCAAATTAATTTTTACGAAAATTGTTTAGATATAGACGTGGGCTGTGGTGACTCAAATAAAAACGGATATTTATCCATTTTGAATAAACCGACAATCTCTATTTAGGAAATAGAAGCTTCTTCTTTTTTCTTTTTAGATGTTGAAGTAATAATTTTTGTATGGCACCGTTGTACTGCGTTGTTTCGATTGTACAATACAGAGCATCGTCACAGTTTTCACATTAGCGTTTGTCCAGCGTAGGGGTTTGATTGACCTATGCACCGTGCTAGTGTGACGGTGTTCATAACTGACCAACAGCCTTATTCGTTGAGTCGCGGAGAACCTAACGGGTTACCGGGGCTTCGGCTCGAAGTGCAGGAGTAGGAACGGGGTGGTTTTTAGTCAGTAAGAGTCTGACACTCCCTCCTGCCTCACCCAGGCGGGGGCGGTCATTCGATGATTTTCCCCCATTAAAAAAAGCCTCATTCGTTGTTCCAAAATTACAAACTACTCCGTTACTGCTACCGGTCTGGATTACAGATTAGTTTATACTGGTCTGGATAGTAATAGCATATGCTGACCTCGGTATAACATTTATAAAAACACATTATTGAAGTGACAACGTCTTATAGATTGGTTTGCCGGCTGACACTTCAAGAAACTGCGTTACGCTCCGCTCACGTTATGCGCTCACAATGAGAGCGAGTGAGAGGCACGCGTCCCTTCCACTCGGGCATGGTTAGCCCGCCTAAGAACGAGAGAGACAGAGCGAGAGAGACAGAGCGAGAGAGACAGAGCGAGAAGGACAGAGCGAGAGAGACAGAGCGGGAGAGAAAGAGCGGGAGAGACAGAGCGGGAGAGACAGAGCGGGAGAGACAGAGCGGGAGAGACAGAGCGGGAGAGACAGAGCGGGAGAGACAGAGCGGGAGAGACAGAGCGGGAGAGACAGAGCGAGAGAGAGAGAGAGTGAGAGAGATACATCCTTCTTCCTACCTACGATACGAATGAATATTCACATTAAAATTATTTTGCCACTCAAAGTCGCTGTCACGTAAAACTTTCGCCCGTATACCGACTTTACAAGCAACCAATTTTTTTTTTGTTTTTTTTTTTATCTTCAATGTTGATTTTGTAGATGTGCTTATAGTGATTACGCGCCAATTTCAAGACCATGTTATGTATAGGGACTTTTAGTGAGGAACAATGCGATTGGAGCACCTGATGGTAAGCAGTAGGACTAAGTAGATACCAAAGGCATCGTGAGCGATGCTGACCATGACGTTTATCATGTTAATTCTGTGATTCGTTTGTATAAAATTGGATCTTATTAACAAATAATATGTTCTAAGCTTTAATTGCTATAAGTGACAGAAGTAAATGAAACAAAATTAAATAATTTGAGATGCTTTATTGTCATTCACAAGTGCATTCACTATCTCACTACAATCTAATTTCGATACAAATGCAGAATAAGTTATTTATATTATAACAATTATCTACTCATAATTATGTTATAGGAACGAAAAGGCAAACAGGATTAAATTGTTAACAGGTAAAACATGTTTAAATAAACAATGAATATTGTTTTGTTATTTCAATAAATTACTTAGAATTAAATATCGTGTTTCACGTTAAAATAAATAGGTACTCTTGAAACACCATTCCTTAAAAACAATTGATGTAGGTTAATAAAGTAAAATAAAAAAAAAAACATAGATCTACTAACATTATTTACATTATCTACTAGATTTTAAGCTCATTTAAAAATGGAATGTTCAATTTTGACTTTCGAAAATACAAAGCGGGTAAAATTTAGCACCACGCATAGTTTTTTTATAATAACATAAACGTAACTTCACGCCCACATAGCCCGAAAAGTGAGGCAGAGATGAAGATAAGATAACAAATAAGGGCACAAAATATTTCTAATTAGACTATAAATACACATTTTGTAAGTATATAAAGTTAGTTTAAGATTTTTCATTGATTTATCATAATGTAATTGTTCATCTGAAGAAAATATAAAAACTGTTATTTAGGTAGATACTAAACGAGACTAAACAACATTAAATTAAAGTTAAAAATGTAATTACATACTTTAAGAAACGACTTTCCGTCTTAAAACAAGCTATCCACAAGATTATTCGTCACAACCAAAATATAAAATTAATGTACATATTATTAAGTAATAAACAAAAATAATGTTAAATATATTTGTCGGTGAATTTTAAGAATACCAGATATTGGTGTGAAGTATTTTCTTTGTTGTATTTCAATCTCTTATCACTGCAAGTTCATAGAAAAGGCTTTTTCTACAAAATACGTCGTTACGCACTACCTACCATCGTCTAGTCGTGTCCAATGTTTTAGCGTATTATAGTACAAGGAGTGCGGAGGTTCCTTTGACTTTACAAAATTTATTTCAAGAGAAATTACGTAATGATTTATATTAATTTTGGTATTCCAATTGACTTGGGTAAAAATTTGTGCATAGATTCACAGCCGGCCGTAATCTAAGACATTCATGAGAATGGGGGCTACCGTATTTTTGCGTACTACATGGCGCAATAGTAGGAAGAGAATTTCGTCCAATAATAGCAGTTGTCAAATATTGAACGTGCAATCGCGTGACACTAGCCAATTCCCTATTGGACGAAAAACGTTAGGTTCACATTAGCCGTCACAAATACGGTAGGCCCCATTGGTATCCTACAATAGTAGTAACAGGTAACTACGAAAGATAGTATTGTCACTAAGAAGGAAACTCGAACATTCAGACATTATTTACATTGGTATGATATGTATGTAACATTATTTTGATATTATTAAGTAGAAATTAAAATATGTAAGTATAAATCGCATGTGCAATAAAAGATTTTATAAATATAGAAAGGATTGGGATTTTTCTCAAAGAGAAATTAATAATTAACATTAATGTTTTTTCATAAATCAGGCATAATACAAGCAATCCCAATTTTGCCCCAATTGTAAAAAGAAGGAGGTAGATTAAAGAAGAGCGATTTAACTAAAATCGCGGGTTACTCACGTGAATATACTGAGAAAAGCTCTACTTCGAAGTGGTTCGAAACTAGTAGAGCTTTTCTCAGTATGTTTACGTGAGTAACCCGCGATTTTAATTCATTTAGTATGTCTCGCAATAGTTATTATAAAAAGAAGAGTGATGTATAAACAGGCAACACAAGTAAAGAGAGATTTCCTTATACACGTAATTCCAACATTGAATTATAAGATACTCATAGAAACCAGATGCTAATACCAAAACCTAATTTTCTACATACGTAGTTAGGTCCGAATACATTATGTACAATATATATATTTTATACATTTTTCAATTATAAAAGTTATACATAGTTATTTGTCATTTTTGTAATAACATTTTAGGTTCGAAGCGTACACACTGGAGATTATAGCAATAAATCTCATAATACTGAAAAATCTAATGTTTTACTCTTTCTGCAATAATGTCCAGTGGTTAGCGAACATTTATACTAGATTTGAGGCGCATCTGCTTTTATGTAACAAAGTTCTAAACATGTTAGAAACAAATAAATAGTTTGATAAAAAAACTCTGTTATGGCAAGAAAATCACTATTATAGAAATGGCGCTGTGTGTATGTTTACTGACAAAGACATAAAATATAGTTGTCTTTGTCACACATATTAATATGTTACATAGTCAAACTCAAGTTATTAGGCTTGATGTGTCTTCGACACTGTTAGTCAGATCGACACAAGGAAAACTGAATTTAATTTCTATATTATTAAAGTTTAACATTATTATTCATTACACATTAAAATCTAAGTGTCAATCTATATACCGTTTGATATGATTTTCTATCATAATTATTAATTCATGTCAAAAAAACAATAACTTACAATTACACAAATTAGTCAAAAATAATCCTTAAAATTATTGATATTCGACTTCGAGCTAATTACTAGAAAAAATATTTTAATTTGATGTCTGAAATAATCAACACACACATAAGAAAACATGGTTTAAATTGCAACTATGAAAAAATCCAAATTAGCAAAAAAATTAAATATCGCAAATGATTAGAGCCAATTTAAAAAAAACTATAATATTTAAACCAGCTTAACATGCAAGTATCAACTAACAATAATAATTTATAGCCTAAACACATTTAACTTGCATCAGTACTCTTATTTAAATATTACAAATTGTTTTTTTCATCAGTCTTCAACGGTTAATGCTTGAATTTGATCAAATTGTTATTAAAACAATATAATTATACAAATTCATAAATTCTCTTTGGGTTGAATACTCGAGTGTATTTGTCGAGACTAGGCTTACAGAATAATTAATGTTGAAGTAACTTAAGCAACTTGCGGTGGCGCTAGTGTCGTTTTTGGGCGCCATGTTGTATTACCAACACGAATAGAGCCACTTGTATTAACATAAATGTTTTAAGATAAGAAAATTTTAAACGATTAAATCAATTTTTGACATTATGTTGTATTGTATAGAATTCGATATTGGCACTGAATTAGTGGACCAACTACACTATTGCAAAGTATTCACTATTGAATGCTACTACCTCAAAACAAATATTTGAAAGCGTTTTTATTTTACGATATGTAGTATTATCGACCTTCAGCTAATTAAGATTCTCAACTAAACTCACCCTACAACGAGAAACATTTCTAAACAAGTTTATTGCTTATGGCTCTAGTTGATCCTTTAACAATATTGAACTGTACAAACTTTATTTAGCCACAGATTCTTATATTGGAGGTACTTACAACTTGATGTGTTTGTCGTAGAAAAATATTTTTTTATTTTCTCGTGACAGTATTTACACCCATTTGAATCGGTCTCTAAACTAACCAACGTATTTTTGTATACCTTATAGTCAGACAGTCCCAGAGCAATTTGGCTCAATTCCCCGAAAACCCATTCAGTCGGTTACAATTCTGTATTTGAAAAGTAACTTCGGCATACCTTCGGCTAAATTCGTAAACATGAACTCGAATATTCGATTCGAGTATCTCCGACAAACTTCGGTACGTTCAAACCCCGAACGAACAAAGTTTGAATTGATTTTAGAATACGCAACCGTTATAGAACGATACCGAATCCGAACCAATAACATCCGTTCGACTTATGTCGAACACAATCATATAAACAGATTTACCAACAAGAACGTTATTTTGAATAACGTCTTTTTGCCACGTTTTCGTTATCTCACCGTTTTGTTAATTCCGTGGATAAAGAGAAGATATAAGTTTTATGTGAATAGAAAACGTGGCCCACCGTCCGAATCTCAACAGATTAGTAGAATAACAACGCAGGTTTCGCCTGCAGAGATCTGATCTCAATTATGTGCCGCCCTCTTTCCTTGCATGTAGCCCTCCCATCGTTTAGCCGTGTTTATAAGTATGGGGTCGTTGTCTAGGCCAGCTAGAAGGTAAAGTTGGTTGACATGGGTCGCGTGGTAGTCCCAGCGGGCTATATTAGGGCTGACTCCTAAAGTAAAATGCCTCAGGTCGTAGAAGCTTCCACTACCTGTATCGAATAACGGGAGTAAGTTCTTCAAGGATGTCATACCATCGTCGAACATCTTCTTTGCTAAAGAGATAGAGTTTTCTCCCTCGATGATGTGCAGATCGTAGAGGCCTAGTAGCGTGTAGATGAAGCCGTTGAGAACGAATAGCGGTGGTTTTGTTGGATATTCTTCGTACCTGTAATTGTAATACACATGCGTTAACATTATGTCTTAAATTAAATAGTTTTGTTTGTTAAATATTTACAAAAATAAATATATCAGATAAGTTTCGCGAAGCAGATATATTCATAGAATGTGCCATAACAGGCTTTAAACAGAGGTCACACAGGTGATCTATTTAGAGGTGGTGACACTTATAGGTGCTCATGATGAGATAGTGAGATAAGAATACGACACACCCCTTCGTCTTTCTTTCTAAAAGATAGACCTTTCCGTCATAAAAAGAAGCTGTCTGTGAAACACCATGTACAAAAAACGAATAAACCTAGTTAATTACTAGCAAATCTCACCAAACGTATTTGTCCATCCACATGGCTTTGACTCCGCCGGCGTGGCTGGGCACGTCCAGCAAGTACAGCGCGCGCTTGGCGGCCTGAAGGTATGTCGCGTCACCACTCTCGTAGTACGCCCGGGATAACAGGGAGATCGCGTGCCCTTGGCTCATTGCCGAGTGCCTGTAAATTGAAGTTAAAGAATGATAAAATTATTGGAACATGGACTGTTTCTTATGATATCCTCTCTTGATATTGATTTCCCATAAACCTATTTAGTAATATTTAGAAGCCCAAATAGAACTGAAATACGTGTAACAAAGGAAACTTTCACTTTCCATGGATCTAGTTGATTCAAGTACTTCTTTTAGGCAGAAGACCTCAAAGAATGAGAGGCAAAGTAATATTACCAGCCAGGTTTAAGCTCCGCGACGCCGGCAGCCATGCGCCGGCGCACGGGTATGGGCCAGCCGCCACTGCGCGTGCGCTGCGCCCGCACCAGCCAGCGAGCGGCCGCGTAGAACTGCCACATGTGCTCGCTCCACGACACCGTCACGTTGTCCAGAGAACCACTGCCGCTCAGGATTATACTCGATATCTAATCAAACAGTCTGTTTAAGAAACACGAAACTTTTTGGAATAGGTCTACCACACATTCACAAACATTACAATTCCTATTATAACTTTCGTGAGACATACTAAATAAATTATTATGTTTTCGGCTTACTCACGTAATTATTTGACGAGAAACTCGACTAGTTTCAAGCCATGCTAGAGGCTCATATTCATGAGCAGTATTTCGCGACCCGCGACGCGGCGACTGTCGCGCTGCATACTATGCATACTGCATAGCATGGCTTGAAACCAGTCGAGTTCCTCGACAAATAACTACGTGAGTAAGCCGAAAACATAATAATTTATTACAATTCCTGTGACAAACATTGAGATAATTGAGTTCAACCTCTTAAGGACATAATTATTTATTGAGTCTCTTTCAAGCATCAAATACTTAAAACGAAAAATTTACTACTACTGCTTGCATACATAACATATTTAGTCAGATCCTTCTTACCTTGAACTTATTCCTAGGCGACCTTCTCTTGGGCCTGTCCTGCAGTGCCCAGCCCTTCTGCATGTCGATGATCAGGTCCCTGGTGATACGACGCCACTGCTGATCCAAACCTATCCCGTAGTATATGTGGTCATCCTGCACAAAGTAGTTACACTTTACAAGTCTATTTAATTGTCTTCATAAAACAATATAACAATTGAACATTATAATATATTCCATTTAAAAATACATTTATAGTTACTGTATTTTAATGAGTTCATTGATCCTTGTCCATACTTGGGTACAATATGTGTTAACTACATAATTACTTGTGCATGAAATTATACTTTACATTAGTAATCTGTGAATTTCGAAACAAGAACCTAATAATTTAAAAAAATGTATCAATATCTACCTGCGCCCAAATTAACTGCGTGCTCGTAACATAATGGAGGTACACAGTCTCCTTCTTATCCTTATTCTGCAGCACGACAGTGATGGAAGAATTGGCCTTCAGCTGCAGGTCCACACTCAGCACGAAGTCTTGCGTCACGTTCACTTTGAGCCAAACTTGACTGGCCGCATGGTCTGATGTTGAAAACCTTAGTACATTCGATTGTACAGAAGTGTCAAACTCTCGTGCCATGTAAGCATCCTTGCTAATGATCCAATTTTCTAAGTGTTTCTCTCCATCATCTATAATTCTTCTTTTCGGCTCTGGTTCAGTAATGTGCTTACTATAATGGGCGAGTCCAAATTGCGCTATCTGTGTAGGGTAATAGAATCCTCGCGGTTCCCACTGTGTGCTGACAGGGACCCCTTCGATACCACTGATGCATTTGACGCGGTCCCTGACTTCCACGTTATAATTTTCGAAGGTGGTGAACGTGCCTCGAGGGTCGTACTTCTTCTTTGGATGGTAGATCTTACCATAGCTGTGTGACCATTCGAATTTCTCTATACCGTCTGCCGTTGTTATTTTTCCGTAAATCTGGAGGACGATTAGAAAAAAAAAATCAATAAATAACATTCACAATGCAAATATTTATATTAAAACTTTCGTGAGATATGCTAAATTATAAAAATAAAAATTCATATTTTATTTCTTGAAGAGACAGCCAGCATTTTAAATGTTGTACCAGTTCTTACCAGTTGTGTTAAAGCTCTCGTATAATAGGAGTCGCCTCCTTATTGTCATACAATAGCGGCAAGCTAGTGCCGTATATTAATTAAGAATTTAAGAAAAATATATATTGCTTAGCTCAGTACCACAGAACCTATCACTACACAACATCACACTTGTATAATATTTTTTTTTTGCTTAATATCAAATACTGTAATCAATATGTAAATAGTTTTAGAGCTGTTCTATTATAGGTAGGTATGTTCTATTAATTTTTTATCTGCAATAGGCCCGGAACGTGTGTAAATCGATAAGGATTATTATCAGCAAGGTCTCAAACCGGTAACCGAACTGCCCGGTAATGAACCTTATGTAACTGTGATCGGATTTTCTTTTGATGTCCAGCATAAAATACAATTCTTTATTATTTCTTTAAAATAAAATTAAGTATTATCATGCAAAACGGGGCTTTATAACATTTTTGGAAATTTGAAAATCGAAAATATAATTACATTATTGCGATTGCCTTGCAGATTGTTCCGAGTGGGAATTGATCTTGTCAAGTCAAGCAAGTTAAACATGATGAATATAAATTGAAATATTTCTACTGCTTACTCACATGAAATAAATTCTGCAGAAAAGCTCTATTAGTTTCCACTCACACTGGGACTTATATTTTTGCGTAGCACGAATTTGGAATGTCTCATGATAGTTTTTATACATACTTAACTTCACGCCTGTCTCCCATGGGGATAGGCAGAGACTATGGAGCGACAATTGCTACGATTCCTACATAACTCTTTCGCATCATCGACAGTCGTCTATCTTTTATGCATACTTAAGGGTACTTTTAATCTGATAAATTAATTTAATTTTTTCATACAAAGACGATTAGCGTTTTTTCAGTGTGGAATGTTTTAATGTCTCACCTCGAAGTATTTGTGCACGAGGGAGAAAGGCACGAACACCTCGTCGTGGTCGCGGTCGCGGCGGCAGGTGACGGAGTACTCGCCGTTGATGGTGCACTCGATCTCGTCCGGGGTGGCGCGCTCTGACAGTGCGTTCGATAGCACTGAGCCTACTAGAGAAATAATGGTTTTAAAGTGACTTTACTGTTCTCCTATGCATATACTTTTATTGTAAGGAGATTGAAATTCTCTAAAAAAAAATGCCACATTCTAGGATTTTCTCCAGTGTCGTGGTCGTGGGTACGTTTATAAACATACAATTTCACATACACATCATACCCAATTTCGAAACAACAATTTGTGGATCACACAGAGTTACTTCGTGCGGAAATCGAACGCGCTACACGTTGCACGGCAGCTAGTTGCCATCGCGCCAACAGTGCTGTCAAAAGTATTCAGCATCACACATTCAGTTACAAGTGCATTGTCGGCCATTTCATTCACGGTGTAAAGTGATCATGTTATCATCAGTAATGTAACAAAATCAGTAATAAAATACAATTGGAAGAAGAAAATTAACGTAAAAAATGAAACATCGAGAGCACTGGTACATTCTCCTTTACATTCTTACAGGTAAAAAATATACATGAAGATATTAAAGTCACAACTAGTCTTTTCATCTACAGTACCATAATAACTACTCACTCTTAAAAATTGTATGCCTGGAAGGTCCGAAGCAGCAGAGGTGCACATTATGGCACTTAATGCCAATTACAATGTACAGTAATGTTATGACTCTATGATGGTAAATATCGCAGTAATACTTTGCCCGACCCAGTAATCAAAACTAACCTTTTGCCTGGCAGTTGCACTTGCCACTACTTCACCTAAGAGGCAGTCCATAAATCTCAAATAGTATTATTTATTCACATCTCACAATTGATATTTCAATTAGCATTATTATAAAAATGATAGAATACATACTGGGTCTCCGTGAGAGGTCCCCACAGTGTCCCCAGAACAGTGTGAACACTAGCACGGCGGCACAGAGCGCGCCCAGCGCCAGCCGCATGTTCATCCGCACCAGCATCATTCCGGCCACCTGCAGGACACAAGTCTTCAGAACATGCATACAACTGCTACAAATACACATATACCTATAATTGCTGTGTAATTAAAATTATTGAGGGATGAACTTGATGCCTGTGAAAAGTATTGGCAACAGAAAGCTCTATGAAGAAACAAGTCGAAGGTGGGAAGGGTGGGCTTTGAGCTGTAGTGGGACGACCATACCTATTAATTATAAAGTAATAATAATTTACTGTATCATTTTTAGTTATTTTATTCCTTTTAAAATATTTATGTTATGTTTAAATTAAAGTTTAATTTCTAGACAATTTTTAGAACTACCAGGTTTTACTCAGCTTACTTAAATCAAATTCATAAACACATTTATTAAAGTTCCTTCAAATATTATATTATTTTATTGTTCAAGTTATCTTTGTAGCTTAACTTTGTTTTTACATTATCTCAACATTGTAATATTAATAGCTAGGTAGTGATTGCATTAATAAAATGGGTCACTAAAACACAATTATACAAATGTTTCTGTGAGATAACCCCGAGACACTAAAAAAGCAATAATGAAGTCATAGCAGTGACACGAACTGTTTACTATTTATTTTATATAAATAAACATGTATTTAAATTCAACTACATCAAGAATTCATTATAAAGTCATTCGGGACGCGACATAAAAAGAAGCTTAAGTCAGACGTATGTAAATAAAACGAAGACACCAAACAGGTAGCTAAATATAACTTCGGAGTACTTAGCGGCCCTACGCTCAAGAATTTGCGTGGGCGTCTGGAGCTCAAATGCAAGCATTAACACCATTATGAAACAGTAATAAAAGGGTTAAATACTTCTCAGAGTAACACCATGGTACATTGTCCCGTCATGTGAGCTAACTACACAAGTAAACAGTATTTATACAAGTACGTACCTTGTACACAGCACCAACATTCCATCCGTTCTTCGATCTCGTGAATTGAATCACACGGATAACTCTCATATGAGCTGCCACATTACGAATAATATTGGTCCTGAAACTGTACTTTATAGAGACTATAACTTTCTAAATATTTATAATGGAATGATTATTTTGAGAAAGTATTTTAAATTAATCGGCCGAGGCACAGCTCGTCTCCGATTGCAGCTTGCAGCTGACTTTTGACAAATAGTTTTTGACAGCTGACAATCTCGTTCGGAAGTTCGTTCAGAAATAAAATTATGATGCATTGTAAAAATTTTGGTTTTATTTTCATAGTAGAGTTTTTACAGTCGTCGAAAGTCTACGTTTATAAAATCCAACAAGTAATTTGTTCTGTTTGATTAAAAATCAACATATTTTTCTACATGCATTCGTATGTCTTAAAACATCATGATATTTTATATTATTCAGGCATACTAACCGTCCCGGATAATAAAAGCTACTTTGCGTCGATACTAAATTAAAATATTGCAATCTAAATAAAAAAAAAACGTAAGTACTACTCACAGTAATGCTATGTTATATTGCTACTAAGTATTATGAATCTTTCTGTTGTATTCTTAAGTTCCACTCTGAAGTTAGTCGTTGAGCGAGATGCAAGTAAGCATAAATACTATGGAGCGACAGAGTACGAGGACATGCTTATAACTTACCTATGGTATGGGTGGCAAAGGTTTTTGGTCCGAATGTAGCCGACTAAGTTATATTTTTAAATTGAAACCGCTATATTAATTTAAATACATGCTCACAAAATTTATTATAGAGTTTAGTTTTATAATTTGGCTAACAAATAAAATAACTTTCAACTTAATCGACTTATACATATAAATCAAAGTCAAAAGAGAGAGTAGTTATCAAAGTGAAAAGTACTAACCGTAATGTTAAGTCAGAGACTATATTGTTTATCTGCTCAATTATTATAATTACTGTCTACCTAACTGAATTCACCTAAGTACCTACCTAATTATAAATGAAATTATGTATAGGAATAAACCTGATCCTGAAATCTAAGTAGGTACATAAGTGTTCTTTGAGACAGTAACCAGCTTTCTGGACAGAGTCATAATAACTGAACAATAATCTACCTTCCTACATAATTATGAAATTGAGCACAATAGAGTGTAGTTAATTGAATGAAAACTGAAACAAAATCACATTTTATGGCTAACTGTATTAGAGTCGGATGCTCGACTTTTGACACGATTTCATGGCAGCCGAACTTCGGGACACTAATACGGCTTCTGGCCGCAAATGGGTTTATCCCTAATACGATTTCTCTTCTACGACTAGTCGCGACTAATCGGATTACCGGTCGCGTGACAGCCACCTACTGCTCGATTAGTTGCCAGCACCAGTGATCTCCAAGCGGGAAACTATCGAGAGACAAGCGATGAAGCTAACAATATCTTACAAATTTTTAACATCATTCACTTTGTAGGAAAATTAGAGCAGGCCACCGGTCGGCACTAGATCGAGATTCAATTAAGCTTGAAGATAATTTAATTGACTGCAAGAATGAGGGCACCTAATGACTAACTTGCCATCTATCTAGTTAACTGTTTACAAACATTAACAATACTGTCCATAGCTGAGTAAACTTAGTCAATAAAATAGCGACATTTCGAGAACGATGTTTGCCTTAACGGTTCGTTACAGCATGCAGTAGTGTAGCACTACAATAAATATAGAATTATAGAGCGTTATCTGAACATGTTATCTAAATAGTGCAATCAGTGCACGTATGTGGAGTGTATCAGGGCAGGCGGGCAGGCGGGCAGGTCGCATCCGAGCGATCGCTAACTCGCTCCAGTGGAGGCGGCGAGGGAAGCGAGGGAAACGGGTCAGTGTGCGCGGCAACTGGGTCAGGGCGGATGCACCACCGCGGCCGCGCTCGGCTTCGCTCGGCGGTTTTCGGCTCGCTCCGGCGGCGCATGCGTGCGGCCCCCATCGATCGCCGCCCACGCGGCGCAGCGCCGCTCAAGTGCTCCGCGAGTCGCGACGCGAGTCCCGGGCTTGGCCCTCAACGATGGCGGCGTGAGCGCGCGCCGCCCGCGGCCTCCGGCGGACATGCCGCGATGGCCAGAGAGGTAACCGAGACGCGACCGGCGCCCTCCGCCGCCTCCGCCCTCTTATGTAACCGGTGATCGCTGACACGCCCGGAGACATGGTGACTATCACCTCGTCGCTCGCCGCACGCCCCGCGCTCTCTGACCCGCATAGCGCGCCGCATCGTGCCACGCTTGACCCCTCGAGACCAATCCCTGGGCTAGGCCTCTTAGATACCGTTACAGAAACCGTCGCCGTCCTCTAGAGATCATAGAATAGACCCTCATCCCTGTGCATCGCAGTGGTACCTAGTGGTGAAGAGTGTGTGTTATGTCTAGTTATGTACTGCGGCGGGGATCTGCCCTGATGTCGGCAGCGAGGCACGTAAGCGTACGGCAGTGCCGCAGCCGGTGTCCCCTTCGCTCGCGTGCCGCTGGCCATGCGTCCGTCTCGCTCACTCTGCTGTACAGCGGTACTGCACATGCAGCCTGCGTTAATCAGAATCTGTGCCAACCTACGGTGTTCATTACAAGGAATTGTCTAAAACAAACTTTACATGAAATCAATACATTCCAGTTATACCAGCCCCACGCCTGTTACCTATGTGATTTATAGTCTACATATACATTGCCCATACCTACAAGGATATGGTAGATACTTTTTCTATTAAAAATATTAAATAAGTAGACGTTTTTTACAAATAATTGACGTGTCTGTTGGTTGAGCACATGCGTAGCACACTCGTAGCAAGACGTAGCAGGACCGTAGCACACAGTTGTAGCATTGCGTAGCCCGTAGCTTAGAGATGTTATTTATAGATTTTTGCTAGAAGAAGGTAAAACGGTGTATTATTATGTTACATGCATGACATACTGTACAAATATCGTCTCAAAGTGTATAACAATAATGTAATATATGATATAATTATGTACAATATACAATATACGGCATATACGAGTAACTGTCCACCGCAGGGCAGCGGCGCGTCTTCCACTGCTATGTATAACCATTAACTAGACTGTGGAACAAACTATAAAAGTATATCTAGTGAAAGTTTTTAACAAACCGCACCGCGTGCAATTTTGTTCGTGTTAACAATACTGACTAGCTGGTTAAAGATGGACTAGGCTAGGCTCAACTAATATTATTAACTATTTGAAAGGAAAGGAAGGAAGGAAGGAAAGGAAGGAAAGGAAAATATTTTATTGAAAATATTAACCAGTATTCACAATTACTCAGTTACTCTAAAGATACGGACTTTTTCACAATTTGGTAATTATTTAGAATATACATACATAAACGTATGTAGCCGGATAATAACTTATTGCAATGAATTCTATTACTAACCAATTATCTATTTTATTCCAATTTTAAGTAATTATTTGGTTTCGAGTCGCCTTTACACTAAGTCATGCGGTTGCTAATATTTATAATAGACTTATTTAACGACTCTTCATGGTATATAATATAAAAAACTGCGTTCTCCTAGTCACCTGCCAAGCGAGGAGATTATGATAAGCCCCCTTATGTACAGGTGGCCCACAGTGACAAACCAGTAACTGACCAAAGGCTGTTGAGGTCATAAGCTTGAATTACGACCTCCAGTGACATCATCAGAGGTGAAGTCAGTTTAAAAAAAATAAAAATAACTGGTGTCTTTAAGACTCGTGGTTAAAACATAAAAGATCCTACTTCAATTTGCAGGTGTGACAATTATAATGCCAGTCATATTCACTTATATGTTTTGTGTGAAATGGTGTTAGACTTGTACATACTTGGACTAGACATCAAAAATACGTGGTTCCCATGTGTAGTCACTGCTGATGTGGGTTTCCTTACACGTGCGTATGATATTTAATTTCACGGAAGTTGGGAGGGTATATAAATTTATTCTTAAAACTCTTTGTACACTATAGCTATACCACTGTAAGCGCAATACTTGATGATAATTTTGCTGTAATAACTAGGTTTAGTCCGCAGTTTCGTATGCGCAATCCCGTTTTCTCCCATTCTAGTAGGACTTTTAGGACTTTTGCTGTCATAAGAACCTTCTTGTAATAATAACAAATACAACAAAAAAAGAATTAGTGAAATCGGTCCAGCCATCACGTGTGATGTCGTGACCAAGGGAAAAAGGATTCATTTTTATATATATTGTTTAATTGTAAATAATAAATACATAAAAGACATTAATGTCATAAAAACATAATTTTTAGGTAACTCTCTAAAGACTATTGATAAAACGAGTACAAACTATAGGTTTGTAATAACGATATTGTATTTGCATTACTTCTAACTCATTAACGCCTTAGGGCGACATTTGCGGAAGATTTGCCTTCACCAGTTTTCTATTGGCAGTCAAAACCTTAAGCTTTTCTTTTTTTTAAACTGAGAAGTTATGTTTCCACATTTAACCATTTATATTATTAATAGGGTTCAATAACAATACAGGAAAAGACCGCTTTTTATGTCAAGAATATCGCGAAACTCTAATACTATCCCCATCATACAATCAAATCTCGTCCTTATTGATCAGTTCTTAAAACAGCTTTTAAACAGGTGTAGTATCTTCAGACACCGGGACTTCGGTAAGTTATTTGCCATGCGATTTGTTTATTACATTCATTGTTTATTTCTAGATCTTATTTTAACTGAAGCTGACCTGTACAAGGTGAACTAAGACACTGAAGCCCTCTACTTAGCCTCTTGTCAGTTGAAAGTTGCGGGTATAATGTGTATTATACCGGGAGCCGGTGTTTAGGCCGGGAGGAGACTTAGGCAGATAGCATTTGTATACTATGTTTCACAATGTCCCTTCGTCTTTCCTTGAAGAAAAGGAAGATTTTCCTACTTTGAGTAAAATTATATACAGTCACAAATATTCCTGTTTAAAACTTATGTAGATGTCATTTTTTAAACTTATGTAGATGTAATGAAATTATTAAATCTCGTGACAAGACCAAAGAAGAAGATAAAGTCTTGATTTTCGTGAGCTAAAATAAAAATGTTTTTAATATCAGTACATGCTAGCATGTGTTTCTTTAACTCGCATCAACTAAGATAATAATCTTCTTACAGTTGATCGAAGGTGAATATTAAAAATCTTGATTATTATGGTTTTAACAGC